TATGCTGTTAGGATTATGCTGTTCCCCCAAATCTCAGGTTTTAAATTTGTGGTATTTGAATGTTCTCACATGGAGAATGTATACAATGATAATTAGGATGCAGGTATGAAATTAATTAAAATCCAGAAGATCCATAAAGAGTACTCTGAAAAAGACAAAATACATATGTTATGTCCTGAATAAAATATGCTTCAAGTCCATCCAAGTTTAGTATGAGTCAGTATGATTGATAGGATATTTGGGATTCTGCTGATGTACCTATAATAGAGGACAAAACATAGTGCAAATATTGCTACACACTATAAAACCACTGATAAAAAATATGCACTCACATATTCCAAAGAATATAAGCGTATTTAGGGTGCCTCCCCCTAAGTGTAAAAAGGGGGGGTTGTTCTCCTTTAATTCTCCCTCCTCAAGTGATAGCCAATGGGGTATCCAGGTCAGCGAGAAGATCCAAGCAAATGCAACCAAAGGAATACTTCAAAGGCGATTTATTCACTTGTAAAATTCAAGAGGTGTATAAAAAATACATAAAAACAATATAAGAAAGAGATGCTGGTCCTACGCGTTTCGTCCTTATACAGAAGGACTTCCTCAGGGACCTCTTTCAGCACAAAATTCAATCACCAAAATTACAGAGAATAAAAAACAGCATCCTAAAAACGCTAACACATGAATAACCTTATATAGGGCTAATCCCTTCTAGTCATTGGTGGAATAGTGGGTGTTTTCTCCTCTTTTGACTCCTATTCGTCCAGGGTTTCTTTTCTTCAGGTGTGTTCACTTGATCGGAATGAAAAAAGCCGGGCTCGTTCCGAAAACAGCCACTTCCGCATACGTCATACGTTACGTTCGCGTCACGTGTTCCGTGATTTATCACATGATCATCATGCGTTCCACATTCGGAAACAGAAATGGACGTGCGTTCCACATAGTGGCAGCCTGGAAACATCGTATTTCTTTTACCTAATAATTATACACACATAACTAGAAGCAAAAGAACTGTTAGAAATCAAATGAGAGAATTTAAAATATTATATTGATTGTCCTCTAACAATGAAACACTAAAAATAATTCTTATAATGAATGTGTAACAACTTCCTATCCAAGTTGACCATTCATAATATTTATCATAATATGACAAAAAATACATATATCATAGTATTACAAAAAATCTATATATATAATAGCAACCAATTATTAATAAATTCATATGTCCATATATTGACATTAATGTCTAATACACTAACATAATGAACATAACCAATTAAGGTGCATAATCTTTTTAAAGTGACTTAAGTGATATTATACTTATTGCAAATCTGTATTATATTAAGTGCCATAAAATTAATATTTATTAATCATTACATGCTCAGTTACATATCCATATTGTGTAAACTCAAACAATCGACCTGTAAATATTATTACTTGTCAATTATTACATACTAAATTACATATCCATATTGTGTAAACTAAAATAATTAACCAATCATATACTCAATGTCATATTCAATCTAAATAAAATGACATGAGTTATATATAATCAATTTCAAGTGTATCTTTATACATTAAAATTAGTTAGTTCAAAAAACAGACAATATCCATATCCACATTTAATCCCCTTGGGGCAAGAGTGCGTAACCTATGAATCCAATATGATTCCCTTTGTGCCAATCGCTTTTCTTTATTACCCCCTCTCCAATGGGGTTGAATTTGTTCTATCCCTATACAGCGTAGCCCCTTCAAAGAAAACAGGGGACAATTATTGCAGTGAAGGGGGACTGAATGAGTATCTAATTTTTTCTTTATGTTGTTAATATGTTCCAAAAGTCTCACTTTTAAACATCTCTTTGTGCGACCAACATATTGGCTGCCACATGGGCACTGAAGCAAATACACAACACAGTCCGAGCGGCAGCCAATCTCTGATTTAATTGAAAACTGTTTCCCTGTAACGGAACTACTATATGATGTAACCTTGTCTGTATTTACTTGAGAACAGGCTTTACAACTTTTACAACCCCGGAAGCCTTTTATCCCTTTTTTAATATTTTTTAATCCATTTTTTAAAGCATAACTAGGTGCTAATAAGTTCTTAAGATTTTGTTTTTTCCTATAGATGATTTTTGGCCTTTTTGACAAATGCTCCCCCAAAATGGGGTCCTCCAACAATATTGGCCAATATTTCTGTAGACTCCTTTTTATTTTTGGATGATCCACATTATATTGTGTAAAAAAAGCTTGTTTAAAGTATGAGTCAGAGCTGCACTTTTGCACATCAAAGAGTCTGCCATTTTCTTTTGTAGATGCCTTGTAATGCCTGATAACAGCCAGGAGGTGGCAGTGAGTGCACACTATCTGCACACACGTATATTTCCTTTCGTAGCATGAGCATCTCTGTCTCAATACTAACTTATTTAATGCTGTAATTTAAAAACATAAGAACGTGCACTTAAATTACATTTTGAAATGAACACAAACAAATCGTATTTCTATATTTATTGGTTTATATGCACATAATAAAATTATTATTTTTTTTTAAACGTGTGTCTTAATGAAAGAATCTCAATCGTGCACAAATATTCTAAATACCATTGTTAAATTCTAAAACAGGCTGTATAAATAGACTCACACAAATAACGATGCAGCAAATTGTTTAGCTACACCAAAATTTAAATGTATGCCTTTTGACGATTGTTCACGTTTATACCTAAACTGATCAACAAATCAATTTCAGACAGTAAAGTCTTTACAAACTGAGTAGGACTGGGTGTGTCATGGTTCTGAGCCAAAGAGAAGGCTTATAAGGAAATGTGCCCCTATTTCTGATAGTGTGTATCTTTGGCACAATGTGAAGCATTGCTCGTGTACTCCGGAACGCATTTGTGTATGTAGTTTATACGAGTGCTTAGCTTACACTGGCACAACAGAGGTTTCTTAACTACGGTTCCCATAATCCCCAGCCAGCCTTGAGGGAAAGGTCGTTCGTAGATATCTAGGTTACTGAGGTAAAACATTACTAATTCATTCACTTATGGCTGGTGTTATCTGCCATTAAAATTGCTGGATCATATATTTCTAATAAATTTGAAAACCCTTGGGTGGTATAATATCGCGATGGGTGGGAGGCCTTCTGAGGGCGCTGCCAGTGATCCAATTACTGGTAGGGCAGCTGCTGAAACGCTGTCTGCTTGGTCCTAGTCCCTGCTCCATGGCACAAACATGTCTAATGATGTGCCCTCACTGCGCTGCCCTAGGAGAGTTCCCTGGTGTCCCTGAAAGCAAACTAAATCTGGACAGACCCCCCAAATTAGGACTGTCTCCCAAAAGCAGGACCATTGGGTGTCCTGTACCTATCCAAGTTTCCCAGTTTTGAGGTCCTGTCCTGCTAAAATGTTTATTTTTCCCTTAGCAACCACAGAGTGAGATCCTCATTAGATGCATTGGTGCTGCAAAAACCACACCCAGGGCATTCAGCCCACGAACAGAGCACTTCAACAACACCCTGCGCATGTGCAGCCTGAGTCTGTCTGGCCAGTGTAATGACCACCTACCCCGTTACAATTTCATACCTCCTAATTATGTGAAAACTGAAGCCCTTTAGTATTTGGAATTCAGAATGGTTGAAAGGAACATTAATTAATAACAGCAATTCCAGTGTTTTTTTATTTATTTATGATTCATTGTTATCTTCTACATATGGATTATATGAGCTGTTGGGAAGCTCTTTTCACATACTACTGACCCACAGGATGAAGAAATTATAGCTGATCTGCCAGAAATAGATGATCTGACAAGGCCAACTGCGATACACAACATTTAATAGGATGGGAGGTCCCAGCCCCAGCTCTCTAACTATTAACAGAAGTTTCCTTTTTTTTTTCTTTATGGAAAACACTAAATCCTCAATGCTTCATAAAGCTAGGCCTTGCATTACTTTACCACATCCACCTTTTTTTTGTAGACATTCTCTTATTATTATTATTTTATTATTTATAAAGCGCCAGCAAATCCCGTAGCTCTTGAAAAATACATGCAGCAGGGATGGATCAAATTTAATACAACCATTTACGATGTGCTTATAATCAATATTGGCCATGTACCTGTAATAGATTGAGAACCAACGCATACTATCGCAGCCAAGGTCCTGGGTTATCGTTTCTTGTCATCAGGTTAGAATTAGGCTATGGATTACTGGAATCAGCGATTTTTCAAAATACCATAATTATTTTTATTTTATCATTTATATAGCGCCAGCAAATTCCGTAGCGCTGCACAATGGGATAAACTCACAGTGCTGTAGGCCGCAGCTAATATCATTCTCACACAGAACAGAATAGGGAGGAACAGTCCTTATTTTGAGCACAAATCTATCTGTCCTCTTTTCTATCCTAATGTCCCTCCTCTAGGAACTCCATATTGTTGGTGTGTCTGAGTGTATAACCGAGCTACACAGTAATAATACTCACAGCAATGTGTCTCTAATACGTTTAGAAATCAGTCTGTGTGTATCAGATAGATTGTCCTTCTTATAAATTAAATATTAGTTTCAGAATCTTTTTATTAGTAAGTCACCTAAAAATTCTCAAAACAGCCCCACGGTGGCCATAACCCCACTCACCCCCCCAATATTAAAATGGCTCTTTTTATCCATTTTAGAAGCTCGTTTGAGCAGGGTCCTCATTTACTTGTTGTTCCTGTAAAATTTAGTAATTGTCTAATTTATTATTACATTTCCCCCTTTTCTAGTATTGTAGAGCACTGCGGAATATGAATACCAATAATAATAATGTTGGGAGTTACGGTTAGGTTAGGAGACTCGTGATGAGCTAGGGAGGGAATCTAGCTGAAATGATGGCAGTTCGAGCATCTAGTGTAAAGGAAGGAAGTGAATAAGTGACTGAAACTGCCATCATCATGCTGTGAACATTATTGTGAGAGATAAACTGATAGAGGGTCCAGTGGGGGGTTGGGAGGGGAGGGGAGGTGGGTGTTACAGTGGTATCAGACTTGTGTCCACTTGACATTTACTTACCGGTACTTAAAAGAGCAAGGCTGACATATGAAAAATCTACTTTATGCACTAAATAAGAACTAAACAGTAGACAATGGTCATTAACATTTTAGACCCAAATAGCTGAAGTCTAAATATTATTCAAATCAGATCTATTTCTAGATCTGTCGTTTTGGTTTAAAGCTTCCTTCTAAATTCATCATCATTAGTGGTTAACTGATCAACCTAATCAGTGTAATAACCTCACGGTACTGAGATGCATTCTGCAACAAAAACAGCACAAATCCTGCTGTGAAGATCTATTAGAAAGTTACAGAATAAAAAAAACAACTTTCTGTGGCATTGTTTGTGAAGATCAATAAAAAATATAATTTTTTAATCAAGAAAAGCAAAATTGCATTGGTTAGTACCTACCAAAAGTGGTGCAAAGAAGGACAACCAGTGAACCGGGTCAGAGTCATGGGTGCCCTGATGAACATGGGGACAGAAGGCTAGCCCGTCTGGTAATGGAAGAAGGTTGCCTGGTCTGATGGTCTTATAAATCAGAAGGATGGCTGGCTGCATGTGCGTCATATACCTGAGATGAGATTTACCATGGATGTACTGTAGGAAGAAGGCTGTCCAGCAGCGGCAGTGTCATACTCGGGCAATGTTTTACTGTGAAACTTTGGATCCTGGCATTTATGTGGATGTTACTTTGAAACATACTACCTGCTTAGAGATTGTTGTTGTCTGCATACCCCTCCCCCTTCATGGCAATGGTGTTCCTTGATGGCGTTGGCCTCTTTCAGCTGGATAACGCAGCGTGAAACACTCCAAAAACATTTCAGGATTGGTTTGAGGAACATGACTGGTCTCCAATATCCCCAGTTCTCAATCCGATGAGCATCTGTGGAATGTGTTGGAACAACAAATCTAATTAATGGAGGCCACTCCTCGCAACTTGCAGGAGTTAAAGGATCTACTGCTAATGTCTTGGTGCCGGATACCACAGGAACCCATGTATCGATGCATAAGAGCTGTTTTGGTATCACAAGGGGAACCTACATGATAGGCAGATGGTTTTCAATGTTGTGATTGATCAGTGGCCAGTAACCAACTTCATGCTGATG